AACTTACAGAGGAAAGCTTGTTGTGAATCAAATGTGATCCAATGTTTGACGTAAGCCGTATGTACTCACAACTGCATTTGCAGCTCGAAATACTCTTCTATATGCTGGTGAAGCATCATGAGCTATCTGATGCATGACAAATTCATCTAATCTGTTCTTCATTCTTGAAATCCCACCTTTCTTTGATGATGATGTTGATGGCATGTTTTTTAATCCAAGCATGATCTCTGATTCAAGCCACATATGTGAAAGCACTTGATATATACCTTCTTCTACCTCAGGTTTCTGTAACCTGTGTCCAATTTTTATGTTTAAATGACATATAATGCTAAAATATTTATTATCAAAATTTTAATTTTAGTTGTTGCATTTGTATTAGAATAACATAAAAAAAACTTAGTTCAAACACAAATATGGCAATTATAATACTTAATAATTGAAGTTCAAACACAATCAAATATCTGATCATATGTGAATGTGAACACAGAGATTCAACGTAGCTTTCGGAGATGGAAGTTTTGATGTATGCCTTCTCAAAATCTTCCCATGGCCGCTCCATTAGTATTTCATCAATTAACGTTAGTTGAAAGAGAAGAGGATGAAAGAAACGACTCCAAGGCATCCAAGTCACTTGCATTAAAAAGGTTGAGATATGGCTTCAAATGTTTGCACCAGGAACACGCACACTGATTCATAGGCATTCATGTGAGGAAGTTTTTGTAGTCGTAAAAGGGAGTGGGACTCTTTATCTTGCATCAAATTCTCAAGCAAAGTCCCCTGGCAAGCCATAAGAGTTTAGAATCTTTTCAAATAGAACATTTTTCGTCCGCTCACCAGGTAAATTTATGCTATTTCTCCTTTTGCTATATAAGCAAACGTGAGTTTCAGCATTTTTGTATGGGTTTGAATTAAAGTGCGATTTATTTCCTAGCAAGAATGTGCCAGTGCCAATCTTGAGATACATTATTGCATCTGGGAATTGAATTCGATTGAACCCCGTCAAAGGACAAAAGATTTTGCTCTTATGGGTATGATTCCTATGTATGTTTAAGCCCTCAATCTCTCTGTATATATACATACATACATTTGTATTAGAATAACAAATGGAAGAATAAATAATTCTGTCATTAAAAGTATTTCCAAACTACACCATTTTACAATAATTAATTACCTGCCTAATGTGCACGGGCCTCTCCCCCATAGCAGAACATATGGCTGCTAACTCTGCTTTAGAATCAGCAATTGCTTATCTTAGTTGAGCTCTACTCCTATTTGCATAATCTACTTTTTCTTCTGTATACCTCAAGAGATTCTCTTTGAAGATCTAACAGCATCTTGTCCCTTTCAACATCAGACTCACCCACTTCATCCCATATAATCTGATTACACAATTTGCATACAAATTACCAATGTTTAACTAAAAATATGGGATTGAGCAATACCATGCCATGAGCTAGAAATTAGAATGCTCTAGAAGAATACCTGAAGCTCATAAAGAAGGGATCCACATGTTGTTTCCACTTGCAGAAGTGGATCCTTTGAGGGAGTAGACATTCTGAGACACTGAATTGATTAGTTAAATAAGATATCAAATAGAAAAAAGCAAACTTTGGACACATGTACCCTATACAACTGATGGTGGACATAATGAGCAAGATGAGGATTTTACATAACAACAACACCACATTTTCATTAGTCTATCCATCTCCAAGGGAGGAGGGAGAAGAATCCAATCGACCTTAAAATGTAGTCTTTTTTTATAGCCTTATTAAAGAAAGTGGATCTTGTTAATATAATCTAGTCTTTTTAAAGGAAGTAGATCTTAGAAATATAATCTACTCTTTTTAAAGCAAGTGGATCTTGGAAATATAATCTAGTTTTTTTAAGGAAGTGTGAAAGTGATTAACCATATGGAACATTACAGCCATAGATACAACAATTTTCACTACATACAAAAAGAGAACCTTTGTTATTTGTTAAACATTAGATGACTTGTGTTTTTGAAGTCGAATTACGACGGTTGTTAATGTTATTTCAAGTTACCTTTGTTTGTTATTGGGCTTCAAGAAAAATTAATGTTAATTTTTAATTAATTTTATTTATTTATGTTCGGTGCTCCCCATGGTTCTAAATCCTGGCTCCACCCCAATGCTAAATACATGAGGAAAAGATTGGAGAATCCAATATTTGATTTATGATTAGAAATAACGACGAGAAAGCTTCATCAATTTATTAGTTTCGCAAGCATCAGCAAAATCCCGTAATCAGAAAGTCGGTGCCATGTACTCACATCTCATAAATGGATTTAAGTAGAAAGCATACCCTTCCGAAAACCCATTGCATTATATTGGTTTAACTTTTTGTTAAGGGCTCTAAAGATTTATACCACATTAGTAGAGTGAGCTGCAAGGCTTAGTCTTTTTTAACATGCAAAATGATCCTTCTAGTCATGTGATAAATTACTTCAATTGCTTTATCCAGTTGAATTTGCAAAAAAAAAAAAATATCCCATAGCATGATCTCTTCTGATCATCACGTGGTGGGATCTTTTGGATCTTAATCCCACTATCTGAATCAGAATGCTCAAGAATTATATTATGTCTGATTTCTCCTTTTACAATGTGACCCTAAATAATAAAGCAAATAATATTAAAAAAGAGACTTCTAATGTCATACATATGCATGCTTGACAGAGCTAGAGTCATATAAGATATTACAGAGAGCAAACAGGAAGAAGGGAAGAGATAAAAGTCAAACAAGGCATAGAAATGCTATGATAGTTGATAGAGATCATGAGTTCTTCCATATCATGAACAGACAGAACTCCTAATGCAAGTGATCCAGGTTTGACTAATTTGCTAGAAATTAGTCAATTGGAGCTTATAACGTGCTTGACATTTGTATCAGAGACAGCTCAATAGATTTATTCATATGAAATCTATATTTCATGTCAGCACACCATTGGATCAAATTGTAACTTGTAAGAACCATTTAGCATATGCAGCAGGATCATAAGCAACCATTTCCTATACAATCATAATTAATAGTTTATAATCTTCATCAAAACAACATGTTGGTCCCGTTAGGGTCTACAAGATGTGTATAACAATTTGTAGAAGGGGGGATGAATAAAACACAATAAACTTTTCTAATTTAAAATATATATTGATAAAGAAGGATCAATACAGATTTTACAAGATTGTTTGCGAAAAGATAAGGTAAAGATAACCTATCTAAACAATCTAAGTTACAAACTAGTTCTTAGCAAAGAGAAATGATTTGTTGTTTAAAACTTAAAAGAAAGTAAGTTCTTTATGGGTAAGAACTATTTAGAATACATAAAAGGGATTCTAACTTGCATTTGAAGATAAGCGTATTGTGTTCTTTAGATGTGTGTTCTTTCATGTATGAACGTAAGAGTTAGGGTTCAAGAGTAAGAGATATCTCTGCATGGAGATAGAACACATCTATTTATATCCATTGCATTAAATGCACATTTAATGCAATGTAGTAGGGTTTGAACACGCGTCAAGCCTTTAGAGAAAGACTTGTCCTTTGCTATAATGAATAGTACAAAAGCCTATTCATGAGCAGACATCCTTTCATGGAGTTGGTGGGTAGTAGATTCAACTAATCGACTCCATAACGTACTACACTCTAGAGAGGGTATGGGTTTGTCCTTTGTGTGTGGAAGGACAAGACAAAAACAATTATGCTCAACAAGCTTCTTTTGATCGCTGAATGCTGGAATAACCTGATGGTCTCCTCAGTATTCGCTGGGGCTTAAGCAGTCTTCACACATATGTAGACTAGGTTGTAATCATTGAATACCGCTTCATATCACGAACTCGCTAGTCTCTAATCTTCAGTTTCAGTCTTCGACTTTTGCTGAAGGCTCTTTGGTGTGAGTTTTGTCTTTTTGAAGTATATATGTCTCTGATGGATTTACATTACATGTTCTCAGCGATCACTGAACAAACTCAGTGATGATCGCTGGAACTGAAAGACATAAACATAAATACTTCGTATAAGGTAAAATTGATTATCATCAAATCACTGAGAGAGAGGATCAACAATCTCCCCCTATGTGATAATAACAAATCAACATAAAGAAAGTTGCCTTATCAAATAATAGTAAGAAAAAGTTACATATACAGTGCATGTCCCTTTTAACTATTTTGGGATCTTTTTCAGTGATTCGGTCTTTACTTAGTAAATTTTCTTAAGTTACAAGATTAAGAAAAGGTACAAGAAGGGAAACTGAAACTGAAAGCATATTCATTGACTTATAGATTGTCAGTGAATGTAAGAGTAACACTGGAACTCATAGACTTGTGTCCCTATTACTATTTTCAAGGATCTTTTTTAGTGATGCACAAAAATACTTATATTAATTTCAAATGGAAATATTACAAGTCTTCAGTGCATGTCTAAAACTTACAAAATATAAGATTAATCACTGAATGTAGACATAGAATATAGGTTTATATAGTGAATGAGCAAAATACAAGAGAAATAACTAATCTAACTTTTTTAGATTAATGTAGCCAGGTATATCTTCTCTGAGCTTCTTTCAACGTCGAAATTCCTTTTTGATCCTAATCTTCATCGCTTCACCATATATGTCATCATTCATCCATAATCAGCCTCTGCAATAGACATAAGCTTAGCTTGGACTAGACAGCGTTCACCGTCTTTTTGGATTTTCTCTTGGGAAGAACTTTTGCAGCTAGAGACTTGACCAGCATTAAGTTGTCCTCAGTCTACTTCTTTGAAGAGCTAGTTCTTCCTCAACCTTGAGGGCCTCGAGTCTTTCAGCTTTGGTCAGGAAGTCGAACTCACCACAATTAGAGGTACGAAGAGGGCCCTTTTTCAATGACGCCTTTGCCTTTCGACTTAGGGCCCTGGTGCATTTCTTGAGCCTCTCCTCCCCTTTTCTCCCCCTGGGATGCTAAATCCCTGAGGGCAATTCCTTTGGTGGCAGTGGAAGGATGCTGGTACTAGATGGTGAAGTTGTCTTCATCGTCGTCGTCATCATCGTCGTCATCCAGGTCGCTGCCGGAGTCAGGGAGGTTGGGAGAATCGCATTCCTCATCATCATCATCATCATCATCATCTTCAACTTCTTCTTCCACATCACTAGCAACAGATGCAGAGGTGATGGAAAGGTCATCGTCACGAGCTTCAGCTCAGACGGCATCAACTTCCTCAGCTACAGGAGCTTCATGGGAAGTTGGGATATCACAGACAACCTCAGCGTCAGCTTCAGCTTAATAGATTGTTGGAACGGAAGCAAATAGTCTAATGTCAGACTTTATCTCCCCCTCTTTGGTGATGGCTTGAGAGCATACGCCAAAGAGTTGGTCGACGCTCTGAATCTGGAGAACCATCATCTCCTCTAGCCTTGTTAGAGCGCTGACTAGGCTATTCATCGCTTCACGCGCTTCATTAAGTTAAACATGGTCATCAACGGTAAATGATGGAGTAGGCACTAGAGCTGGTTGACGAAGAGCAACCAGGAGTTGTTGTATCTGCTCTGCTTACTGGACTTGTTGGGCGTGTGCTTCATCGGCCTTGCTCGTGAGAGCAGCGATGGCCTCAACATTTGCTTTGATCGCCTCTTGAAGAGAGGAGAGCTAGCCCTTCACTTCTTGGACTTCAGCCCTAACGGCTGAGAGGTCTGGATCAACTTTGTCCCTGCGAGACATGTGTTTGTGGACTTCGTCTATCTTGATAAAGACGGTCTCGACTGCTGGAGGAGGAGCTTCACGTCCGTTGTCATATCGTACTCTTCTTCTTCCATGGCTAGAGCCTCAAACGGATTTGAAAAAGAATGTGAGTGAGCATATGGAAGCTCTTGGTTAGAAGAATCTAATGGGTAGGAATGTGGAGTACCTGAGGGGCCTTCATCGTTATCTGAAGGATTAACGCTAGTTGGCTCCATGGTGCGCTCGTGAGGATGAGCACCAGTATGTTGAGGAGCTTCGAGAGGGGCTACCTCAGGTCCAGTAGTGAGTGTCTCATTATCAGGGAGGTCTGGCACTGATGACTCACCGCCACGTGTTTAGACCAACAAAGGAGGGGAAGAGAAGATGGCTGAGACTGGAAGTGAGTGTTTAGCGGTGGCGGCGCTGATATTCACACCTTCAGTAATTTGGGTCACTGAGGCGGTTGGGAGAGGTGCCACTGGTACAACAGTGATCTCATATATCAATGAAGAGCTGGGATGGCTAACTAAAATTGCCTTGGGGTTAAGGCTCTTTTCAATAACTTAGACCTTTTGAGAGGTCACAACCAGAGATGTGGTAGTCCCCTTTTTGGCCTTCTTGGTCCTCGAAGAAGAACCAAGAGTTGGTTGAGATGGGCGTTTTGTAGAAGGGTTGTGGTGGTTAGGTTAGACTTGGGGGGGTGTTTCCCTTGTCTTGAACACCGAAGAAGGAGAAGGGGGAATTGAAGAGTATTGCACCACTAAAGATAGTGCAACATCTCCATCTCTGAGTTTGTGATCCAGAATCCTGAATCCAAGCCCGCAGACAGGAAGGTAACCTTCCTTTGAGTACGTGTTGCCAAAGATCTTGGCGAAGACCATGGACAAGAACCTGGTGTAGGGAACCACTTTCTCCCTCTAACACTTGTTGAGCTTAAGCGTCAGGTCGTCGAAGATGACGGCAACAAAGTTTATTGGTCGGTGACAGATGACCGAACACCAATGGTGAGTGCAACCCTCGAAGCCTGATCCTAGCCACCAGTCTTTCTACCCATGCTCTGGATGAAGTGGGAGAATAAAAACTGCCACACCATGGACATGCAGTTCTTCTCGATCTTGGACAGTGACTTGAGCGACTTGCTAGAGTCCTTCTTCATTGGCCATTGGTAGCCAATGTCATTGACGCAGGCGATGATCTCTTCAGCAGTGGGTTCGCTGGCGAAGGGACCCTTAGGGAAGCAAAGAGCGTGCCTAAGAGTGGCCACGCCAAACCTCACAATCATCCTGTTAGAGGTGAAGGAGATTTTCTCCACCTGATGACCGTTTTTGTCTTCTTCTTGCACCACTTCAGCAATCAACTAGAACTGCTGAAGGCCTCCCTAACCATGACAGGTTCATGGTTGAGAGCGTAGGCGATTGAGGACATCCTTTGAAAGGCTGCAGCGTCCTTTTTGATGGTTTTGTTTGTCGGAATGTCCAACAAGGCTATGTGGTTGTTGGCCTTGAAGGAGATGTCTTCCACTGTAAAGTTCACGTTCTTGGCAGCCATTTTCTGTTTTTTGTTAAGAAATAAGAAGGAAAAATAGTTTATATTAGTAGTCCAAGATTGATTGTGATCTTTTTAAGTTTTAGAACAACAAAACTTCTTTTGAAAATTCCACAAATGAGATATTAGGGTTTTTCAAGTAGAATGGCGTTTTTGAAACTCGATTATAACCATGAATAAAAATGTGTTATTAACCTTTCTGTTTGTGTTTTAAGAGAACAAGGTTCTTAAAATCTCAAACTACAGTTTCATTAAGAAGGAGAAGAACAATTCAAAATGTAAAGAAGGTTATCGACCTTAGAGTTCTTTGGAAGAAGGTCGAAAGATTTGATTGTTCATGAGAGTTCTTGCTTGCAAAGTCTTTTTGGCAGAGGTTCGTCAAAAAATTTTGTAAGCGTAAAAAAAATATGAGGGAAGAGATCTCATATTTATAAGTAGGAGAAGAGAGAAAAGAAATAGGAGAGAGGAAAATACGAATGTTGAGGAATTGCCATGATGAGAAATATAGCATGTTCTCATCCATGATTGGATGGAAGTTATAGCAGGTCACGTGTGTCAGACCTTTTTGCGCGTCTCAAAGCGATTCGTATTGGTAACAGAGAATGTTGTCATTAAGACGGTTCATTAACTATTTCTTTTAAAACGAAAAGGTTTTAAGAAATTAGAATAGTCACATTCAGTGATAAGACAATCACTGAATAAGAACCTTTTAAAACATATGATCACTGAAGAAGAAAAGCTTCAGTGAAGGTTTTGTTTTAAGAAATGAAAATAACTTAGAAGAATATATATTCATAAAAAGGTTCAGTGTCAGTGATAAAAGAATCACTGAAACTGACATTTAAAAACATTTGAATCATTGAAGATAGAAAGGTTTAGTGATATTTTTTATTTTCAGAAAAAGATAAGTATAAAAGAGATATACTTACATAAAAATGTTCAGCGATAGAAATAATTACTGAAACAAACTTTTAAAATATTTTGCTCACTGAAGAAAAAAGCTTCAGTGATAGTTTTAAGTTTTTAGATAAAGAACAAGTATACATACCTTAGAGAGAATAGATACATTTACTCAAGAGTTCAGTGATACAGATAGAGCACTAAATCATTTCACTTACTGATTGATGCGTATAGCTGAAGGAAATTATTCTTCAGCATTTGGCATCCCAAGTTCGCTGATCAAGATGTTAAATCTTGTCTCATCAAGAGGCTTGGTGAAAAAGTCAACGAGCTAGTAATCAGTTGGAACAAAGTGAAGTTCAATATCACCATTCATAACATGATCTCTATATGTTTGGTCTTGGAGTGAAGTACAGGGTTGTTTGCAATTGCAATAACACTAGTGCTATCACAATAGATAGGAATCTTTGAGAACTAAAGATCGTAGTCATTTAGCTAGTTTTTCATCCAAAGGACTTGGGCACAACAACTTCCAGCAGCTATGTATTCAACTTCAACGGTTGATGTGGACACTGAGTTTTGCTTCTTACTTGTCCAGCTCACCAACTTTCCACCTAGAAGCTGACAGCCTCCAGTGATGCTTTTCCTATCGATCTTGCAACCTGCAAAATCACTATCTGAATAACCTATTTGGTCAAAGCCCGAACCCTCAGGATACCAGAGACCCAAGTTAGGAGTTCCTTTCAGGTATCTGAAGATGCGTTTTACAGCGATCAAATGGGATTCCTTAGTTCAGATTGATATCGTGCACATAAGCAAGTAGAATACATGATATTTGGTCGACGAGTTGTTAGATACAACAGGGAGCCGATCATTCATCTATAAACAGTTACATTTACAGGCTCTCCATTTGGATCCTTGTTGAGAGAGAGTGGAGGAGCCATTGGAGTCTTCATAGATGAGCTGTTTGAGAGATCAAACTTCTTCAGCATATCACGGACATACTTATTTTGACTGATAAAGATACCTTTATCTGATTGTTTGATATGGAGACCTAAAAAGAATGTTAGTTCTCCCATCATACTCATCTGGTATTCTTTCTTCATGCGATCAGCGAATCAAAAACACAAAGAGGGATTAGTGGGGCTAAAAATAATATCATTGATATATATTTGGACTAGAATGATATGACCTTTAACTTTCCTAAGAAATAAGGTTTGATCAATCTTTCCACGAACAAATTTCTCAGAGATGAGAAACGAGGATAGGGTATCATACCAGGCATGGGGATCCTGTTTCAACCCATAAAGAGCTTTATCCAAACGATAGACATGGTTTGGATACTTAGGGTCAAGAAACCCTGGAGGTTGTTCAACATAAACTTCATCTTGAAGTTTTTCATTAAGGAAAACGCTCTTTACATCCATTTGGTAGACTTTGAAGTCTCTATGGGCAGCAAAGGCTAGAAAGAGTCGAATTGCTTCGAGTCTAACCACTGGTGCGAAGGTTTCGTCATAGTCGGTCTTTTCTTCTTGTCTATAACCCTGAGCAACAAGTCGAGCCTTGTTACGGGTTACCACACCTTCTWCATCTAACTTGTTGTGATAGACCCATTTGGTGCCTATCACTGTCTTGTCAGATGGACGTGGGACAAGGTACCAGACTTTGTTCCTATCAAACTCAAAAAGCTCATCTTGCATGACAATGACCCAACTAGGGTCTGAGATAGTATCACTGATCTTCTTAGGCTCAACTAAAGAGAGAAAGTTGATAAAGAGACATATATCATCTAAGCTGGTAGAGGATTATCATCTGAGCATAGAAGTTCAAGAACAGAGGATGAGGCTTCAGCTGCAGATTCTTCAGTGATTGGAACAATTGCTAAAGGAGCCTCATATTCAGTGATTAAAATAGGTTCAGATGCTGAAGGCATTTCATTCACTGATTGATCAGTGTTTCAAGTAGAAGGAGGATCACAACTAATGGGCACAGTAGCGATCTCTGAAAAAGACACGTTGGTGTGACTAGCTGCAACTAGAATGATTAATGGATCATCTTCAGCTTCTGGGGCTTCAGTGTTGAGAGGAACGCTGAATGAAGCTTCAGGTTGTCCATAATGAGAAAACATCCAGCTTTCTAATTCTTCGTCATCATTTATAATGGGTTTAGCTGATTGAGATTCATCAAATGTGACATGAATAGTTTCTTCTATCATGTGTCGGCGTTTGTTGAACACTCTGAAGGCTTTGGACACTAAAAAATATCCAAGAAAGATTCCTTCATCAGCTTTGGGATCGAACTTTCCTAGTTGATCACGGTTGTTGAGTATATAACACGTGCAACTGATAAGTGTTAATTTATTAACCTTATTACATCATTTTCTTAACCATTATCCTTTGTTTTATTTGCCCATTAGTGTCTTAATTGAGTCTTTTTATGTTTTTTTTCAAATACTAGTAGTAATATAACATATATAATGTTAATCCCCTGTTTATGCATGTTTTTGATGATTTTTGGGCCAAATCCTACAGCAATCCTGTAGGACCAGGTGTGGCAGAATCCTGTAGTACCTGTCCCTGAGCTGCACTTTTGCCTGGGCCGAGAATTATTGGGCTGCTCCTTAGTAGTTGCGTGGTCAACGACCTTGGGCCCGGTCAAAGCCCATTTTTGAAGAGCCTTTTGTCTTATTAGGTGGCTCCCATTGTACAAACTCCCTTAGCCTATAAATAGAGGCTTAAGGTTTTGTTTTTCATACACTTTCTCATGCTTTCTACCATTTAACACTTATAATCTTTGTGTTAATTGCTCTCTAGATTATTGCTTTCAGTTTCAAGCTTTCGGTTTTCTTGCTCCCAATCAAGAACCGATTTTTGTGAAGTGGATTTGTGATTGCTCTCAAGTTTAATTCAAGTGCTCGTATTTAATCTTCATCTCATTTTTGTTTCTATTTCCAAGTTACGTTACATTTTTTGACTTTCTTTGCAAGTTACGAATTAGTCGATCGTTGTTACTTTACATTGGATTTCATCATTTGTGGCTCACGATTAATTTACGTAGATTAAATAATCTATTTTTAAGAGTTTGCAAGTAACCTTTTCGGTCTTAGTAACGAAACTTGTTTTGCAAGTTTTGTTACTTGTTTTGCAAGCATCCTTAAAGTCAACCCCTATTTTCAAGGCTTTCATTAGTCATTTCTTCATCTCATCAAGTACTTGTTTTACATCATTACTTAGATTAATATTATTTAGTTATTAGTAATTTAATTTCAGTCATTTACATTTCAGTCTTTATATTTATGTCCTTTACATTTCAGTTTATTATATTTCAATCTTTACTTTTCTGAAATTCAATTTCTAGCAATTTACTTTCAGTCATTTATATTTCTGTCATTTAAATTTCAGTACTTTAAATTCCAGTATTTTCATTTATTGTAATTTACTTTCTGCAATTTACTTTTTGCAATTTACTTTTCTGTATCAGTTATTTATTTTTCAGTCCTTACATCCTTCGAGAGAATAAATCGAGCGATGATGGGCTAAACGCCTTAGCTTGGGGTGTAACGAAAAATTAAGACCAAAGCCGATGTGAAAGTACAAAGGTGTCTTATTAGCATTATAGTCTACTAATTGTTTCAAGTGCTTAATATTTCATTTGATGATTACATTAAAATTAATTGACATCTAATTTTGTGTATAAAAATGTATTGATTTCAAAACCTGAGGTAATAGGAGAAGACTATAAATAGCTTTAGTGTCTGACAAATGCTATACTTCTACGGTGTAGGATGGTAACACTGTGTTGTCTAGGATTCACGACGTCTAACATAAATGATATCGTATCGATAGCACGTTGACCGGTGTGTACTCTTGGGAGGCCGTCTGACCTGATAGTCGATACTGTCATAGTTATATAAAATCATTTATTGATTTTAGATAATTRTGACAGGAATGCTATGTCACCTTTTTGCTGAATCATTTGTTTAATGTCTTAATCAACTATTGCACACTGTGCTTCTTTTTAATATTGATATTTTCTTAGTTGTTAATCAAACCTCCCAATTTTAGATAAATCAAATCTCTCGTTTCGCCATCTGAAACTAGTTT